TTATATAAAATTTGAAACAAAGAAATACCATAAAAAGTATAATATACGTGAAAAATAAATCGAAGCGACAGAATGGCATAAAGAATAATCTGTATTAAATTCGTATCTATATGAATTTAAATGTTCTGAAAATATACAATACAAAATCTATATGAAGAAGAAATATTAGGCTAAAAAAGAAATAATTCGCAAAACAATATAGAGTGTATATTATTACTAAGTCTTGTTTAAATAAAAAGAGGTAATCTAAAGAAAGATCATACTATACGAATTATATACCTGTAGAAGTGCTGAATTCAACAGAATTCTTATTTGACACATTTCATAAATCAAAATATAAAATAAATAAGAACAAAATCTCTCAACAATAAAACAATGCATTATATAGTAATATGATATGCTGTTTAAAAAACATATATTCGATTTATATAATTATACAAATATTAATAATTTTCTTGATTATAACAAAAATAATATAAAAAATATTAATTATTTTGTCATAAAAATCAAAATAGAAATGCATTCAGTCAAATAAATAACAAAAAATTACAATAAATATGAATGTACATAAATGAACAATAATATACGAGTACGTCAACAAACTCCTAAAAGAGTTATCACTTTAATTCATATTTATAATATATTAATTATACCTGCATCTAATAATATAAATAAAAAATATGAAATGAAAAAAAAGTTATATATTACATAATGCAACATAGAATAATCGAAAATTCCTATAGTAAATAAATCCTCAATAAATCATCGTGTCATTAAAGAATTAACAATATATAATCAAATTAATATAAAACAAAATAATATAATACCAGTAATACATTATTACATAATAAACTAAATAGCAAAAAAAATTAATAAAAAAAATAAATAATATAAAATAATCAGGATAAAAAAAAACTAAAATAATATAGATTTAAATCAAAGCATCATTTAAAAAAAATTATAGCATAAAACATATATTAAAAATAAATCCATAAAATATAAAAGCATAATATAAACATTATAATAAAAGACCCAAAACATAATTATGAAATCTTCAAGCATGAATCATAAAACCCTAAACCCTAAAACCTAAACCCTGAATCTTAATATAACTCTTGAATCTTCAAGCCTGAACCATAAAACCCTGAACCTCAACCCTGTTTAGCCAAACTTCAAATTTAGTTTGTTATACATGTTAAAAATAAATAAATTAACATATAATTATGATTTATTATTTTAACTGATTTCACAACATTTTTGTCCAAACTAGTCTATTATTTATATTACATATTTTTATTTACAAATATGTGTTGAATTTTTTCTGAATTATAATATTTTCATTCATACGATCTTTTCATAATCCCTAATGTATGAATTGTATTCTACATAGTATGTGTCATTTTCTATATTTGATAATATTGAATTAATCATATTTTTAAAAGTATTTTTTTTCATAAAATTTTCCCTTTTTAAAATAGCACGTATGCACGCGCTTAAGGATGTGAACTAATAAAAATATATAATCATAATAAATATATTAAGACATTTATTTAAATGCAATTTTTTTTATATACATTAACAATCAAATATACTTTACAGCATTAACATTTGTCTATAGGAATTTTCTATTACTTTGTTCAGTGTTAAACATGACATAAGAATTCCTAAAATAACAAGGCCTACAACAAGAAATATTTTAACTGAAAATGTATTAAGTACATGATATGCCATTGCACGAAATAAACATTATTTATTTTTATATACGGGAAAATGGTACCTTGACTGTCTTCAGTTCTTGCTGTCATTTCTTCGATATTAGTGAGACTAGATTTTTCTTCATATTTAATTATTTTAGTATCTTCTGCGGTAATAAAACCTGAAGAATACAGAGAATTGTAATTAAAATGTAAATGATAATGATGAATAGTTTATTTATAAATAATTAATAATCTTCATGTTCTTACTTTTAACGCACAATACTGCATTGTTAAATATGACTTCCCATTCTGTTTTAATGTAATCTTCTGTTTTATTTTCATTCTCAGTTTTATATTTATCATCACGTAATTTTTGCAATATACATTTTGCAAGGTCTGGAAACATATTATTTAATCTTTTGCATTCATATACATCGATATTCATGTGTTCATTCCAGTATTCTTGAAGACCGTTGATCGAATAAGTCTTATGATCATTTATTAAGTTAGATGAATTAATTGCGGACTTTATTAAATCCATGTAAAAATTTATAGCTATGCAACAATTTTTTTTCAAAATTTCACTGTTACTATTTTTTTTTATTTGATTATAACCGATCCTAACCTTTAAATTAATCTGATTTATCCATTCTTCAACATCGAAATACTGCATATCAGAAGAGCGAGTTATCGATACTAATTTATAAATGTCCACATTGTAAATTAATTTTTTTATAAATTCACTTGTATTAGGGTCATATCTGTTAGAATCCTAAAGATAAAATGGAAAATATATAACAAAATGTACGTACAACAAAATACATTAAAGAATAATTACATAATTATTATCAATGGCAGCATAATAATACTTGAAATATAACATAAACAATTCTTTGTAAATTTTATTAAGAATAAATAATATATTATAAAAGGAACAATAAAACATTACTATAAAATCAATATATAGATAGAAATCATAGAAATTATGCATAAACGAGAATTTACCTCCATTTATATGAATCTATAATTAAAAATTTCATTCAAATTAAAAAAAAATTCCCACAATATAGGATATGTATTTGTATTATAGATTTATTTAATTCCAAAACAATTTTTTTTCGTAATTAGAGATCTCATGTAAGAAAAAATATAATTGAAGATTATATATATATATATATATAAAATAATTTTCATTATGCATTTATTGCAAATAGAATATTGAAATGTTATTTATATTAACTTTTAAGTTATGAATATTATTATTAGTTGTATAATAGACATGTATTTTAATTATATTTTCAAAAATATATTTCTACTGGCATGCACTAGAGTTTTCTTTTCCTTTTTGTGTATGCATTATTACTGGCTAATTTTGTGCATATAATTATTATAGACTGTAGTTTCTCATGAAATCACAAAAATTAATTCTATATTATTATACCTGAAATTGTGAACCTATAGATTAATATTAAAAATAAAGGACAAAAATATAGAATTACTAGATGCAGCGTAATGAAAATATATTCTTTCTAAATTATATCTAATATAAAATTCAAATTATATATACTAATCGTTACTTTACAAATATGAAATATTTTTTATTGAATTTTTTAAAATACCATATACAAAAGAAATACATATACTTTACATATATTTTGGGGTATATCAAATAACGTAGAATTATTTTGAAATAAGTAATACATGCCATATATGAATTTGTTTTAATTATATAAAATTAACTAAAAAAAATTTTTCTTTAATACTATATTATACTATATATTATAATTCACAGTTTAAGGTTCAGGAGCTATTATTAGATTGTTTTGTTTTAGTGTTTATATAAGTGGCTTATTATTTATTGTTATATTATTTTATATTTTGTTATATGGAATATTTTTATTATTTATTATTTTTATTGTTAATATATTTTGTTATTGAGTTTATTATATAATAATTTAATTATATTATTATTATTTTTAGTTATATTTCTATTAGTATATATAATGTTAACTATTTTTTGGAAAAAAGATATATTATGTATTCATTTATAATTGTAATTTTGGATGATTATATTATGTCATATTATGTAATATATAACTTTTTTACATTACATATGCTTTATGTTATAATTATATGCAGGAATAATTAATATATTACAAATATAAATTAAAGTGATTTCCCACTTAGGAGTGAGTTAATGTACTTATATATTATTGTTCATTTAGGTACAATCATAATTATTTTAACCTTTTCTTACTTATTTTGAGGGTTATGCATTCTATTTTGATGATCATGACTGATATTTAATATTTTTTATATTATTCTTATTAGAATAATGGACCTTAATAATATAGATATAATAAAATAAATCGAATGTATGTTCTTTGTACAATATATAATACTAGTATATAATATATTTTTTGAATATAGAGAGATTTTTCTCTTATTTTTCTTAATTTTTTGATTTATCGGAATTGTCAAATAAGAATTCTCTTGAAGTCACTACTTGTACAGGTATATTATTCGTATAGTCTGTTGTTTCTTTAGATGTTATCTCTTTAATTAAATAAGAATTAGTAATTATATATGCTCAATATTGTTTCTACGAATTATTTCTATTTTAGCCCAATATATTTCTTTCAAAAAGATTTTAAATTACAAATTTTCAGGAGGTTTAAATTCATATGGATTTAGGTTTAATAGTGAATATTCTTTATGCCAATCTGTCGCTTCGATTTATTTTTCACGTATATTATACATTTTATGGTATTTTTTTGTTTCAAATTTTATATAATATTTTATTA